CGAGACGTGAGACCAATATCAACGGCAAAACGGAGGTGATGGCTATACCGAATGTCCCAAAAAGATGTACACACATATACGGAATATTAAACTTGTGTGAACATATTTCTTTGGAACAAACAAACTGTGCTTTGCTTGGCCGTTCAAATTCCCTGGTAGACAAGTCTATAGGCTAACAGGCTATTGCTGTTGCGAAGAACACACAAGGGGTACAATTTGCCACCGCAATTTCTTACGTAAATAAACAAGAGTACACAGGGTGACCCATCAAATCCTCCCTCTACAAATCTCAGTTACATATATATAAACCAACAGCACATATGTCCATCAGAAACTGTTTGTCTTTCGACTGGTTTGATGTGATCCTCCATTTTCGTCTATCTTCCACCAATCTCTTTATTTCCACATCCTCAAAAATCTACGTCACATATTCCAATCTTTGTCTCCCCCTTCAACTGTTCCTTCCATTACCAAATTAACCAATCCTGGGTGCATCTTCTGGTAATATTTTTTCCATAGACGTCTTCCTTCGACTATCCTGTCTAATATCAGCTCATTTCATACTTTACAATAACAAGTCAGAAATAACAAATGACACCCACGCTGAAGTTAACGTAAGGTCGACTAAGAGCGAAGTCGACTCAGCGTCACGTTCGACCTCGGAGTCTACGCCCGAGACGAATGTGATCCGTGGTTGAGGGTCGGGGATTGTGAACATCTCAGTTCAAAGGCCAACACACCGATTCATGCTTTAAGAAACAAACACGTAGTCTTATTAAAGATATCAAGTTTCAAGGTCAAACATTATACGAAATAAAATTCATCTGAAAAGTTCTTTCGAAAATTGTCTGCAGTCAAATTCGAACACGAGCCTTGAGATGAGAATGCCAATGAACAAAAGAGTAAAGTTTGTCCCACTATACGCCATGTAGGCGCTTGGGGGGAGTGGAGGTATAGCTCCTCTCTTCCTTGACCTCGGCACTAGATGGGGGGTGAGTGGTCAGCATCACGCCCCGGCCGGCTTTACCCCCGGGAAAGGACCCCGGTACCCACTGTAGAGGAGGCTGGGTGGGCCCCAGAGGCTAGCGGAAAAATCCTCTGCCCCCGTCGGGGATCGAACCCCGGTCGTCCAGCCCGTAACCAGTCACTATACTGACTGAGCTAACCGGCTCACGTCAGCAGTTGTACAAGGTGTGATATCTCATCGAAAATTAAATGTAAATAAAACACTTTCCTTCACAACACGCGTAAAAGCAAACATGTCAAGGAATTTTTTAATTAGATGATTGGCTAATTACCTTCTAATAGAATCTGCTTCATGGAAGACAATTCGAGGATGACTGGCGCTCAGATGCAAAAAACGTTTAACGAACCAGTCGGTTACTCATAATTGAGACTAAAATGATAAACTGTAGTTAAATGGTCAATAATACAATTAGCACACTTTAAGATATGTAAATATTGCAAAGCTCCTTTCAAATTATATTAATCGCTGTTTTGTATGTTGACGCAATGCTGGAACGATTGAAACATTTGTTAAAACGAGCGAGCGAACCGCCGACCTCAGGACAAACAATTTATATTTGGACATGCATGAATTTGTTACGAGATTCCTAAGACTGTTACTGTAGGCTGCATCCAAGTGGATAAACACTAATTGCACCCAGTAAAAAAACGCTTCAACTGATGTTCCGAACCGAATCTTAAATAGCCTACACGAACGTAGCAAGTTCGAAGCAGAACACGTAGGAAGACAGTTTTAAAGGCGAATCATTCAGCTTGAAATAATAAAATTTCTCACATTACTGAAAACCCCAGGAATGGGACGTCATAATCAATCCAATCTACTCAAAACAAGTGCATTACGACAGAGCTAATCAACTAGAGATAATGATTAACACTTCTCGTGTATCAATGAGAAAATTCAACTCGGTATCAGCACAAATTTTTTGTGCAGATAAAGGCGAAAATAAGTGAAACTGAAAGCATATAAATGTCACTTGGTGCAGATTTCACAACTTTATATGTGCATTTATTATTTTAGTGTTCTGTCTGGCGACAGGTCCATATGAACAGGATCCTTCCATCCTTTTCTCTTCTCGGACTGGGACCTGTTCATATACGTTCTTGGCAGATGATCCAGAAGTGGTTTGCCATTGCATTCTTCTGTGTGTGAATATTATTTAGTGTTCTGTCTGACTACAGGTCCATATGAACAGGATCCTTCGATCCTTTTCTCGGACTGGGACCTGTTCATATGCGTTCTTGGCAGATGATCCAGAAGTGGTTTTCCATTGCCTTCTTCTGTGTGTGAATGGCGTAATTGTTGGGATGCCACGGAGGAAAACTCCGTGTTGCCTAGACCACGGCCTTGCCCAACACAAGTTATAAATTCGGGCACCGCCGGGAATCGAACCCGAGACCCCGGGATTACAAGGCCAGCGTTCTAACCGCTAGACCACCGTGGTTATGTATTAGCAATATACAAAAACTTAAACAAAAAGCATCGGTCTTGGCGACAGCTATATTTTATGTAACACTTTCTTAGAGTTTCTGAGGAAGATGATAAGGTGTAGGTCCAATTGGGGTACGGGTTATATTGGGACAATATAACCAAAGAATGGATTTTTTTTTCACTTCTGTAAACACTTCGTCGTCACTTTATCATAGCTGTGTAATATCTGACACCATAAATGAGTCGGGGCTGGTAACCCAACCACAAACCCAGCTGAACGTTTTGAGAACGTTGTGTTGGACCAGTGCCTATCAAATCTGTAATTTTATAAAGATACCTGGTTGACGTTCAATAACATTCAAAATTCCTCCAACTAAAAAATAATTAATTAGTGAAGATAAATTAAAAGCAATCTCAATTTATAAACAGAGTTCCACAGTGTCTCAAAGACTGCCTTCCTAATGTGCAAATTCCTATTCATGCAAAACTTGAGCTATTACTTTTCATTCAACTTTATAATTAGCAATGAGTTTGCGTTGGAATCCCACTCGTCATATTTTCCTTATTACTGTTTGTAATTGAAAGTTACTAACTGTCGTTATGATCCATTACTAGTATTATTATATTTTTGAGTACTGGTGTTCATATTCTGTTTTAAATTTGTGAGATCTGACTTCGAATTACCCATCAATGCCTGTAATTCTCGGCACACAAAACAATTTTGCAAACATAATTTGTAGGTGCGTTCTTCCCTAAAAATCCAAATTTTAAATGCTACAATAGTTCTTTGCTTATCGCCGTCAAACTGTTGTTTAATACACATCTTAGCAGCAGACAATTATGACAACAGTGATGAAAAATTTGCTCTGACACAGCGTCATGGCATTTAATTACAACTTATTTAACGGCGTGTTCAGCAGTTAAGACTATATAGCGTCGAATAACATTTTAAATCAATTATAAACCAGAAAGTATATGAATGGGGGTGGTCATGACCTAATCTGAAAGTACTATCCAGGCATTTGCTGGAGAAACTGAGTAAAACCACGAAATAACCCAGTCAGGATAATCAGTCTCCGGGCCTAGATCTAAACCCAGGACCTTTCACAAACGAAGGAGATAAACTGACGCGTATTCTAGGTCATCTTCCGTCGTCTCCATTTCGTTTTTTAAAACCACACGACGTTTCAGAAGCTTTATCGTCCTCCGCCACCAGGTAAAACCATAATCTCATCAGGAAACATTGGTTATAATCAAAGTATATAAACTGCAACCATCAAAGATCAACTCCTATAATTTGTAAATTAGATCAAATGACAACACATCGACCTTTGAAATAAAAGTGACTGTTAACCATTCTACCGCGACGTTTATCTCATGACTTGTTAAGTAAGCATTTACATTTGAAAACAAGCCTCTCTAATCTTTACGGCACCCGTTAAGTAATGAAAATACATTATTTGCAAACACAGTTTACTCCAGACACATTTTCACTTGTACAGAAATTAAAACTCTCAAAATGCCTGGAGTTCCACACGCATTAAAATCAACATCTTTCTCGGATTTTCTACTCTAAACATAATTCAACACGTTAAAAACAATGTCAGTCTAAAGCAGCACACACTTCGTATTCATCTTCCACAGTATACTAACCAGAAAGAGTCTCTTTCTTTATTTATTTACAGTTATTACATAGCGTCGAATGAGAGGATTATAGTGAATAATGAATTTATAATGAATTCTTCTCGGGCTACCAAGTCGTGTCAGGTGTTTGAAAGGTGAAAACACCAACGTTTCAAGAACCACCTCCGTCCTCAGGGTACTGAATTGGAAATAATTTGGAATGAAGCGGTCGTGGCCTAATTTTAGGTACTATCTCATCATTTGCGTTTAGAAATTGAGCAAAAACCACGAAAAAAACCCAATAAGGATAGCTACATCTCCGGGACGAGATTTGAATACGAGGCAGGAGTGTTAACCATGAGGAAATTTTAATTTAAAAGATGGAAAATTTATGAATTTTGTTATAGTTTATTATTATCCCAAAGGGCAGCAACTATTTCCGAGAAACATGTTGTTTTTAGCACACATGTATTATATAATTTTATTTTATTAAAGCGTCTTTCGGGATTTATTATTATTATTATTACAGCAACATTATAACACAAATATGCCTTATTTTATTTTTATAATATGCTTAGACACCAGGTTATAAAGCCTTCTCATGTTCTTAACTACCAGAAATTTCGTATTATGTCATGTTAGTTAAATGTCTGGTTTTTGTAACCTTAAATACACTCAGTTCCCATCATGCTACTGTAAGATTTATAATACATAACACAGAATATATAATCAATTCAAACTGAACTACGATTTTCTCTGTACCATTTCGTCTTTGTTCCGTCTGAACTCCGAAATAATACAAGCACAAACATAAGACGTCGATCCACAGCACCAACGAACACAAACACAAAACCTGTTACCGATGTTCATGTTACATCCCAATTAAATTTATGGACACGGAAGATTTTAAAGTAAAACCTACCGGTTCCAGAGTCCAACTGTTTCTTCTTCGAAACACGTTTCCAAGAGCCATTTCGGCAATCTTTTGCATAATTACACTCAATGTTTCAGCAAGAAATTTGTATAAAGCATGTCGAAGGCGCGAAACATCTTCGGTAGACTTCCAAACACTTCATCAAACACTTCGGTACATGCATGACATTACACACGCGAACAAATATCAATAACGACATGACTGACACCAGACCTGAACCACATTCTACATCAGCAAACATCTGTACAAATACTGGGAGAAATACAGCCAACAAATTGCTAGCTTCGATGCTAATACATTGGAAATTCAGAACCCTACGTAACATAACAGCCTTGTCGAACGAATCTCCCAACATTACAAAAAAAAAAAAAAATGTATGTGAGATAACAAAACTAGTTCGTCCTTTCCCCGCTTTCAAACTACAGTAACTATCGAACTACTAAAACCTATTTTAAAAAACACTTCGACCTTTAATTATGTCACGACACGTTTCTACTGTTATCTGAAAAGCTGAAACATAACCGATCGAAGGAGCGTGTTCACAAATGCTAAACGTGCTTAACCAGCGCCTTCCAGTGTCCGACACTTACACAATACTAAAGCCAGGATATAGTGTGGAGTGCTTCCTGACTTGGCTCTGTGGTGGTGGTGGTGGGGGACATGGCGTACCCTCACAGAGGGATAGGCGTATAAACACTTCGTATTTGGCACCTCTTCAAAACAGAACTATTATGCTATATTAATCTTATCAAAAACGTCAGTTAATCTACAGCAAATCAATGTACAGAGGCTATCGAATGTACCTGAACTATGGTTACTCGTTATGGCAAGGAAACTGATAAATAATTAAATAAAACAGGACTGAGACATATAAGGATTGATCCAGGAGAGAACATTGTGGGTACGATAAGTAAAAATTAATTAATGTTTCCAAAGGATAAGGAAAAAAGTCATTGATGCGAAAGCGCAATATATCTCTATTACTAGGATGAGTTCGTTAGTATTATTCTAGGATATAATAGGCGTTTGTTATGAGAACCATACGAAGCCAATAAGTAGCCAACACAAAGTGGGGAAAATTTGAATTTGTGTTATGCTGTGTGTTAAGGGACTATCAATGCGTGTTTAACATACTTCTTCTTCTTTATTACGTCGTCTCCTTTACAGGAGGTTGGCGACATATTAATAACAGGATCCTTCCATCCTTTTCTCTTCTTGGACTGGGACCTGTTCATATACGTTTTGGCAGATGATCCAGAAGTGGTTTGCCATTGCCTTCTTCTGTGTGTGAATGGAGTAATTGTTGGGATGCCACGGAGGAAAACTCCGTGTTGCCTAGACCACGGCCTTGCCCAACACAAGTTATAAATTCGGGCACCGCCGGGAATTGATTCCGAAAGTATAAACACAAAAAGTTTTATGTTTGAATATTGACAATTCCTATTGTAATATGCCTTTAAACCTATTGCTAAATCAAGGATGCGTCTTACAACTGACGGCGTCCTAAAATCGAGGAAGTGCCGTATTACTGAAATGTTCAGAGCCGAGGAAGCAGCGTGAACAATTTCTTGTGCAGAAAGTGACTTGTTGTTAACGAAGAAACCGACTAATTCTACGGGTACTGTAGCACTGAGGCATATAGAAAAATTATGTATAAATTAAGATATAAATAAAGGAGAATAACATTACTAAGACGTAACTTCGAAGACAGAAGCAAATGGTATGTTTTTAGTTATAAAATAAAGAAAATCCAGCAAAACAATAGAACCATTAGAGACTTTTATCAGCACACTAAAAATAAGGACTAATGAATAACTGAACTTTATTAGAGCTATAATCAGTAAAAAAAAAACCGGTGTTCGGCGGACATACCGAATAAAGAACTCACGAATAGGTTACTTAATGCTTCGCCTGTAACTTAATAACGGGGGTATCCAAATGTATAACAAAACTGATTTCTGACGGCGACAACAGAAATAAAAAGGCAGACACGATTACAGCAACAACGAATTAAGATGATCGCTAATATTTACATCTTTCTGTTGAAAACTATTTCACAAATTTTATTTATTCGGGGAAAAAGTTTCATAAGCCGGCCACAGTGGCCGCGCGGTCTCAGGCGTGGGCCTTGTGCGCTTGGACACTGCGGACAGTGGGTTCGAATCCTACTCAAGGCACGGATGTTTGACCGCGTGTTGTGCCAGAGGCCTTTCGACGGGTTGATCACTCGTCGAAGGAGTACTGCGAAAAGTCTAAATAGATTAAATAACCTCCAAAAGAGGCGACGAAGACCCACACTGAGTTGTAGAGCCACAAATGATGAATGTTTCACAAAATGATGTAGAACTCTAGAAGAAGCATTGTAGCTTGTTTTAAATCATCCTGGAATGAGTAAAATAACGCAATACCTCGACCAGAACAGGTAATCTACATTCCACAGAGCAGGAGAAAATCCCTGCTAGGAATTCGATATACGCGCATGCGCAAGATTTCGCGGTGAGTGACGGCCCATCCTAAAAGCATTCGTTCCACAACCACTGAACGAACAACAGACGACAGGCTTTCGTGTGTTCTAATGGGTACAGCTTTAAGATTACCTCACAGTGGCACAGCGATTTAATCTAGAATATTATCGCAACACCCGCAGAACACATTAGAGGTTCGCTCACTACACGCTACTCGTAACTGCTTGATGTTTTCAGTCTGTGTAGTAGCGTAAAACTGTGACGTGTCACACTTCCCACCAATAGCAGCCCTCTAGTCCACCAGGCAGTAAACATTCCCCCCACAGGGCTTTTCTCCTGGTCTGTGGACAGTACTACTGATGTTCGAATCGCGAATTTTCCGAATGCTAATCAATTGGGTTAATTCTGAATTAAAACGATACATCGCACAAACCTACCGAGTACTTGTTTAAGACAATTCACCCCAAAATGGTTACTGAAAGGATGAACGAGCATCCACTTCCGCTATCAACGTGTTAACTTTGCCGTATTGTTTTTACTATTGATAATACAAAGAGTGTGGCGTCGTAAAGTCTCGTCACAGACAAAAGAACTTCAAAGCCTGAGAGTGAAAACATCATTTGCAAGTACTTATTCCTCCTTACATTTCCCTGTATATTGCCATCTAACACAGCTGATAGCCCGAGAAGACTTTATTAATGACAAGAGTTTTCATATGGTCCCGTCGTGTCACATCTCATGCATTTACATCTAATACCGAGATAGGAAATCTCTCGTGTGACAAAGAATATAACCCCTACAGAATTTTGATCGCCCAGAACACTGTCACAAGCCTCAGTAAGTTACGCACGCTATTATGAACCATGAATTAGGTCGAAACACTTCTCACTGACTTTCGACATACAGTCCTAACGCAGGTGTCAAAGCGACTAAAACTGTCAAATAATTACTCTTCAGAACCTGGTTGTAAACACAACGCGAGAAAACAACCACAGTAATTACGAGGTGCGATCGGAAAGTTTCAAGACTGCGCGTATAAAAAAAAACCGTACACTTATCTCAGGTATTAAATTCATCCATCATCCTCGAAGTAGTTCCCCTGGGAGTGAACACAACGATCCCAGCGCCGCTGCCAAGCCTGGAAGCATCCCTGGAAATCTTTCTTTGTCAGCCTGTCAAGCACCATCTGCGATTCTGCCTGAATCTCTTCTATCGTCTCAAATCTCCTTCCCTTTAGCTGAATTTTCATCTTTGGGAAGAGGAAGAAGTCACACGGAGCTTAGAAAGGAAGTTGGGGTCGGTTCTTGCAAGATCTTTGAGCTCCTGACAAACGAGAAGTCGATTCTGCTTCTGGTCCTCAGACAGGATGCGGCGCATGTGGAGTTCTTCCTTTAGAATCAGCTGACAGGTCCCATACGTATCTCTGATGACTGACGCAGAAGCACCTCTGAAACGTCGGTAAACTTCTACCAGACTACACGGAGTAACAAACCATCCTTACCCGCCACGAGATCCTCAAGTCTCACAATCCCGAAAAACTGAATTTAGGTGACATCTTTGCAAATGCGTTCTTGGGGTAATTCGTTCAGCGGGTAGGCCTACCTGACAGCAAGCAGTGGTCAGTTAATAACGCTTAAAGTAAACGTTCTTAGAAGTGTTGATAACAAGCATCCTTCCTTCATCGCAGACTTTCAATTAGCGAAAGAAAAGATGGCCAACGAGACCTTCAGTTTTAAAGCCAAGGATGTAAACACATGATCATTTGTACGCCATTTAAAACGTGGGACTCGTGGCAATCTTTCAAAATGTTATTTGTCTCGAAACAGGCCCATAACCTTGAACTCGCTTCTTAAAGAACACAAGCGAGGATTTTTAACCCACTGAAAACCACAGCATGTTCAACATTCGAAAGAACTTTAAAGTTAACTGAACCACGACAAAACTTTTAAAAGCCCGATTTCCAATCACGTAAAAAAAAGAGCTCGAAAGCCATAGCAACTTAAATAAAATCTGAGACGAAATTAGTAGCTTTCAAACACGTTTTCTCCCTATGGCCCGCAGTTCAATGCTACGTATAAGCCAACTTGCCAATCAACACCATTAAGGAATAAGACAGGTCTAAGAAACTATTATGTTTATCACAGCCTCGGAGCAGACATGCAGCTGGACTCAAGATTAAAGGAGATAGTAATTTAATCGAGGTTGAGATCAAGTCTTTCTTTCCGTAGGGATTTTACTGTTCACGTTCACGTGCTACCTTGCCCAATTGCGTTTACAATACGACAACCTAAGCTCTGTCACTTTTCGAAGTACTCTCCCGCCTTCAAAACACATTCGGGCTGAAGTGTCAAAAAATCATTCCCGGACAGCATTTTTTTTTCGATTCGTTGTCCTAGCGGTTAGAACGCTGGCCTTGTAATCCTGGGGTCTCGGGTTCGATTCCCGGCGGTGCCCGAATTTATAACTTGTGTTGGGCAAGGCCGTGGTCTAGGCAACACGGAGTTTTCCTCCGTGGCATCCCAACAATTACTCCATTCACACACAGAAGAAGGCAATGGCAAACCACTTCTGGATCATCTGCCAAGAACGTATATGAACAGGTCCCAGTCCGAGAAAAGGATGGAAGGATCCTGTTCATATGGACCCGTCGTCAGACAGAACACTAATTAAATTAAATTAAAATTAAAAATCTTAATCTATTGCCTCCTAAATTATCTTTCATCGGGGCAAACAGCTGATGTCACAGGATAACGAATCGATTCAGTGCAAGTCTATTCACAGCAGATAAACATAAGCAAAGAAGCTATTCCAGGCAGAAAAACACCCCAGAACAAAATAAATTCTCTTTTCTTCCTTTCAGCGACGTTATAGATCAGTAGTATTCAACCTGGGGTACGCGTACCCCCGGGGATACGCGAAGACATCATAAGGGGTACGTGAAATTTTAAAACAAATATTATTTTATGAATATACTGAATAATCAGTAATGTAATTTAATTTAATTTATTTTAGATGTAGATTATATACTACGTATAACTTGAATTATACACCAACTCTGGGGGTACAAAGTTTAAGAGAAATTATATCTGGGGGTACGCGAACAAACAAAGGTTGAATACCACTGTTATAGATGATCGCGGTGGCG